TGGGCATGATGTGTTTCCTGCTGACAGTCCTCAAAGCAGGGGCCTTATGGGTCTCTATGGGTCTCTATGGGTCAGTACGGGTCTCTATGGGTCTGTGTGGGTCTCTATGATTCCCTATGAGTCCCTATGGCTCTCTATCTTAGTCCTAGTAGGTCTCTATGGGATTTCTATGGGTCTCAAAGGTCTCTATGTGTCTCTATGGGTCTTGACAGATCTCAGTGGGTGCCTAGGACTCTTTATGGGTCTCTATGGATTTTGATGGGTCCCTATGAATCTCTATAGGTCCCTACGGGTCTCTATGGGTTCCTGTGGGTCCCTATGGGTCTTTGTGGGTCTCTATGGTTGTCAAAGGGCTACTTAGATCAATCTGTGCCCATGACAGGGGGCAGCAGGTCGGTAGGCCTCTGGACCCAAAATGGGAAGGGAAAAGGGGAAGGGTAGGGATATGGGAGCTGGGCCCAAAAACAGAACAGCTGCAATAATCCAAGGAGGAAAACGTAATTTTACTAAACATGAAATCGGGTAGCAAGATAACACAATATATAATACAATCTAATTGAAATTGAGGTGAATAAATCAAATAAAATAAGAAAGAGAGCATCCGAAACTGAACGTTCTACTTTGAACTGAAGGCGTGCGGGTGGGGAGCACCACAGCACTGCCAGGGAGCGAGAGAGGGAGAGATGCCATGGCTTCCTCCATGACTTCTTCCTCTCTGAACGCAAAGTGCCCTGGGATGTGCAGCTCTTCTTCTTTTCTCAGAACCAGGTACCCAGAAAGTTGTCAGCCCACGGAACTGGAGTATTAACTCTGCTGTGATGTGGCATACTGATAACAAGAATCATAAAACCATGGCACTCCACCCTTTACCTCACTGTATTGTGCTTAATGTATATTCATACACACAGAAAAGAATAATTAAAATGTGTCAGACACACGTGTCTATATACATATATATATATGTATACATACATAGAATTACTGACTGCACTCCCCGAAATTCAAATTCCCTTGTGGTACACATTGAACATCCCCATCCTTCTCCATCACCCACCAGGTGGACCCAAATCCCTGTGCAAAAGCAGTTCCACAGAGGAGAGGTTTGCCCTTTCCAAAAGCTGGAAGGACCCAAACTGCTTTTCCCAACATGCTCTTTACATACATGTCCATATTGTAGAGCTGTTCTGTTTGGATAAGAGGCCCCCAGCAAAAGGAAAACAGACTTAACAAACATCAAAGAGGCCAGGGCCTCCACACAAGGCTGGCTTGCCTTGCTCTGTGGGTAGGTTGGGATGCAACAGCAGGCATCAAGATACTCCCCCTTATCCTCCTTCCAAACTTATCTCTATGCAAGGATGAGCAGATGTCCAGAAACAACGACCAAGTGTTGAACGAGCAAGTGTGAGAAGTTAACTAATTAGAGATTGTGCTTACCTAGTGAAAACTGATGTTTAGCCAGTATCCGTATGTTTAGTTGAGTGTTGGGAAGATTGTGAACCCAAAGCACTCAGCCAATGAGGAACCAGGGGACAAAGAGATAAGCGTCAAGTAATAGGGCAAAATGATGGAATGCTGTTTTCTGTGTGCTCTCCTTGCAGGAGATTTATGGGGCACGATGGAGATCTCTGCTTTATCAGAGATACTGTCCTGGTAAATTATTTGGATATTTCCAACAGTGGTTTTGTTCCCACTGCTGTAACCACCCCCATAAGGCTTTTGTCACAGAATCACAGAATCACCGAGGTTGGAAAAGACCTTCAAGATCATCCAGTCCAGCCATCCACCCATCACCAATAGTTCTCACTAGACCAGGTCCCTCAACACAAAATCCAAGCATTCCTTGAATATCCATGACTTGCAGATGACACCAAGTTGGCAGGAAGTGTCGATCTGCCTGGGGGTTGCCTGGCCCTACAGAGGGTCGTGAAGCTGAAGCCAATGGTTTGAAGTTCAACAAGAATGAATGCCGGGTCCTGGGCTTTGGCCACAGCAACCCTAAAGAATGCTACAGGCATGGGGCAGAGTGGCTGGAAGACTATGCAGAGGAAATGGACCTGGGGGTATTGATTGATGATCAGAGGAACACGAGCCAGCAGAGCGCCCAGGTGGCCATGAAGGCCGACGGCATCCTGGCCTGTATCAGAAATAGCACTGCTAGCAGGAGTAGGGAAGTCATTGTCCCTCTGTACTCACATTGATGAGGCTGCAACTTCAGTGCTGTGTTCACTTTTTGGACCCTCACTGCAAAGAAGACATTGAGGCCCTGGAGCACGTCCACAGAAGGGTAAGAAAGCTGGTGAGGGGTCTGGAGCACAAGTCTTCTGAGGAGCAGCTGAGGGAGCTGGGATTGTTTAGTATGGAGAAGAGGAGGCTCAGCGGAGACCTTATTGCTCTCTGTGACTGAAGGGAGGTTGCAGGGAGCTGGGGGTCGGCCTCTTATGTGACAGTAATTGGATAAGAGGGAATGGCCTCAAGTTGCACCGGGGGAGATTCAGGCTGGACTTTAGGAAATACAACATTACCGAAATTACCAGTACCCACCAGGTCCTTCTCAGCAGGGCTGTGCTCCATGCTTTCATCCCCCAGCTTGTACTGGTATTGGGGACTGTCACAACTCTGCTGGCACACTTTGCACTTGGATTTCTTGAACCTCATGAGGTTCTCCTGGGCCCACTGCTCAGCCTGACCGGGTCCCTCTGGATGGCATCCCAGCCTTCGGGTTTGTGGACCAACCCCACAGCTTGGGGCTTCAGGACTGACAAAATAAATCATCTATTGATGGTTGTGAGACCATTTTCTGTTGATATAAACACATGACAGGAGAATCTTCAAGTGAAATGTATGGAATTGTAATCAGATATTCAACTAAGAAATTTGATCATGTCTCTAACAGACTCTCATAATCCCTATCTCAACCCCTTCACTTCACAATCACACCTTATTCGTGTCATTGCTTGTTGGCAGAACACACAGGTTTTGAACAAAGATTGTCAAGAGGGAAGTACAGGCAGAATAAAATCTCATCAAAAATCTCTGCTGCACACCTTGAGACCTCAGTAAGAATCACAACTGCTGCCATCTGACCAGACTGCTGTGTTAGCTTCACAAAAACAAGGTCAAATATCCCACTGGTTTTATGTTTTTTGTTTGTTTGTTTGCTTGCTTTTGTTTATTTATTTTTGTTTGTTTGTTTTAATGAATATTGTCAGAACAATATATTAAATGAAATGCTTTGTTACTTCTATATGAACAATATTACATATTTTATGAGAATCATAAGACATAGAATGGTTGGGCTGGGAAGGAGCTCCGCAGATCAGCAGGTTCCAATCCCCTGCCGCAGGGAGGGCCACCGACCTCCAGTGATGAGAGCTGCCTCAAAAGTAATGCCACCATTTTATTATGTTGGGCCATCAGATCAGAGGCGGATGTTGGAGGTATGGCTGTAGAGGCTGAACCTTCCCACCAGCGTCCCATTACGTGTTGCTGCCGTGTGACAGATGGCAGCAGAGGGGCAGTCTGACAGCACGGCATCTGACATGGCAGTGCATATGAAGCAAAGGCATGCCTTTAAATGTCTCCAAGATGAAAAAAAGTTGCACTCCTTGACATTCACCGATGCCTGCTGAATGTTTGTGGAGACCAAGCAGTGGATGTGAGCAGAGCGAGGCAGTGGGCGATGCGTTTCAGCAGTGGTGACGGTGGGTCACCTTCGCTGGTGCAGATGGTGATGAGCATGGTGTGCAGGCTCTTGTTCATCGCTGGCAAAAATGCATAGCTAACGGTGGTGACTGTAGAAAAACAGTGCTTTGTAGCTGAGAATTTGCTCTATCCAATAGTGTTACTGTGCTCTTTGTGTCTGTTGTAGTTCCCATGGAAATAAATCGGAAGCCTTGCTTTTGAAGGAACCTAGGCGTATGCAGCCTGAGAAAACTTCCATTCACTAAACGTGGCCCAGGTGAGCCAAAAGGTTGGACACCCATGGGCCAAGGATGAGAGTGGGCAAGAGAGTAAAGGTATGGCTAGGGTACTGGAGTTCTGAATTTGGGCTTCAGGAGAAGCTTTGAGGTTCAGCATTATTGCAGTGGATTCCTGTCAGGGTGATGAATGCACTTCGAGGTACAAAGAAGGCTTAAGGTCTGTGGGTTTTGCAGTCTGAGTGAGTCACAGCAGCACCAACACTGCCTGAACCCCTCTTTCCTTTTCCAGATCTTCATTTTTTGCTGGCCAAGCTCCTCTTCCCTCCTCTCCATCTCCCATCTCTGCTCTCCAGGCTTCTCCTGATCTCCCCATCTCCTTAGAGGCAGCTTTCTACCTAACAGCCTATGCTCCAGGATGGCTCCTATAGGTCCTGGGTAGCTTTTGTACATGATTTCTCTATCACAGACTATCCTGGAGACAGTGGAATCCTCTGCGTGCAAAATGGAGAAGCCCTTAAGGAAGACGGGAAACCTCTGAGATGAGAATCCATATCCAAGTCCTTTTCCTATGCAGGGTGTCACAGGGAGTGAGGAAGAGGGGATCTCAGAACCGACGTGCAAACCAGCTGCTGCTGGCCTGTCAGAGGCACTGACAGATGTGAGCCTGCCAGCACAGACCCCAGCCAGGAGCCAAGGGACGGCCAGTCAGCTATTGCAGGCTGAAGTCACCACACAGTTGCATTAACAGCCGTGTGCTTCCTGCTGGATTGTGGGTTTCTGAGAACAATTGACCCCAGAAGCTCCAGAAATGTCTCCCAGGAAGGAAGACAGACAAAGTCATTGCATGTCCTTTGTTTTGTTAAGATTCAGGAGAGAGCCTGCTTCCCCATGTACAGCATGTCTGGATGACACTGCACAGGTACAAACTGAGTAGTAATTGATGTGGATAATGATAATTTCAGTGAAAAAAATTAGAATACGTAAAACACAGAATAAAACATTCAATAAATTACACTTAGAAAATGAATATATAAACCAAAAGCAGGCAGTTTGATTCTGTTAAAATCTGCATTATAAATCTTACATAGAAAAAGGTGGGCAGTTCACTGATTTCAAAACACATTTGGCCATTACTTTCCACAGAGCATCCTTGAGATCCTGGTTCCTCATGCTGTAGATGAGGGGGTTCATTACTGGAGGCACCACTGAGTACAGAAATGACACCACCAGGTCCAGAGCCGGGGAGGAAATGGAGGGTGGCTTCAAATAGGCAACCATGGCAGTGCTGAGAAACAGGGAAACCACAGCCAGGTGAGGGAGGCACGTGGAGAAGGCTTTGTGCCGTCCCTGCTCTGAGGGCATCCTCAGCACGGCCCTGAAGATCTGCACATAGGACACAACAATGAATAGAAAGCACCCAACAGCTAAACAAACACTAACAAGGAGAATCCCAAATTCCCTGAAGTAGGAGTTTGAGCAGGAGAGCTTGAGGATGTGGGGCATTTCACAGAAGAACTGATCCACAGCATTGCCATGACAAAAAGGCAGTGAAGAAGTATTAACAGTGTGCAGCAGAGAATAGAGAAGCCCAGTGCCCCAGGCAGCTGCTGCCATGGTGGCACAAGCTCTGCTGTCCATCAAGGTCCCGTAGTGCAGGGGCTTGCAGATGGCAACGTAGCGGTCATAGGACATGATGGTGAGGATGCAATACTCTGCTGACATCAGAAAGACAAACAGAAAGGTCTGTGCAACACATCCAGTGTAGGAGATGTGCCTGGTGTCCCAGAGGGCATTGGCCATGGCTTTGGGGAGAGTGGTGGAGATGCAGCCCAGGTCGAGGAGGGCGAGGTTGAGCAGGAAGAAGTACATGGGGGTGTGCAGGCGGTGGTGGCAGGCTACGGCTGTGCTGATGAGGCCGTTGCCCAGGAGGGCAGCCAGGTAGATGCCCAGCAAGAGCCAGAAGTGCAGGAGCTGCAGCTGCCGCGTGTCTGCCAACGCCAGGAGGAGGAACTGGCTGATGGAGCTGCTGTTGGGCATCTGCAGTTCCTGGGCATGGAGTCCTGTGCAGAGTGCAGAAGATAATCACAAGTCAAGGCCATTCTCAGGGACACTTCTGCTACACTATAACAGTTTTTCTTTCGCTTAGGAAAATGTTCAGCTAGCATCATAACTTGAATTTAATTTCCTGAGCTTCACCATCCCTTAAGAACTAGAAGCTTAAGGAGTTCCTGCTTTCCTCTCATTTCCTAATCATATCCCAGCCTCATGGATATTTTCCTTTTATGAGCAATTTCCTTGTTTCATATCTTTCCTTAGTCTGCACTCAGAGTGCGCATCCCTACCTCTGTGCACTTAAATTTGTTTCAGAGAAATCTGCCTGTTTGCAGGATAAGTGCATTCTTCACGTCTGCACAAAATGGCAATCATTTCAGCTGGTGCTGTCCTTTGGGAGAGGAGAGGCTGAAAGCACTTGAGGAGATACGGCGGCACATTGAGAAAGGTACAATTCAGGATTTGCAGAAATGTATTCATATTTCACAGCTCCTTTCAGATTTCTGCTCCCAGAACTTCCCCCATCCCTTGCAAGAGGAAATGGAAAATCCCTGCCTTCTCTCCTCTTGCTAAGCATCCTTGGAAACACCCTGTGGTGCATTGAAGCTGTGATCCCCCTGCCCCAGGCAGCAGCTGTGGCAGCAGAAGGCCCCTGCCCTGCCCTGCCCTGCCCTGCCGGGGGGCTCCTTCCCCCCACACGTCTCCCCACAGCGCCCTGGGCAGCTCCCCAGGCAGGCTGAGTGCTGAGCCTGGCAGGCAGCACAGTCCCTGCCCCGGCACGCAGCCCCTGGGGCACAGCAGGACCTGCTCTGCAGGACAGCCCTGGGCACCCGGCTGCAGCCCTAGCTGCACAGCCTGCAGCCGTCCTGGGACACGCAGCCCTCAGGGCTGTGCTCTGATGCTGCAGCACGGAAGCCCTCAGCTGGAGCAAACCTATTTCCATGATAAAGAAACAGAGCTTATGCAGCCTGATCTGCAATGAGATGTCCAAATTTTAGTGGTCCCTCCAGTAAAAGCAGCTGCATTACCAGCAGCCAGAGACTTACCTTGTTAAGGGCTGTGAGAAATGCTTCTTCAGTGAGCTCACAGCCTGGTCACAGTGTACACATGCTGAAACCTCTCTCTTCTTTCCCTTCTGTCCTCGTGACACCTGCAGATCATTTACCCAGCCCTGCTATGTGCTGCACTGGAGCTTCTCCTGGGCACAGCTGCCTCTGCAGTGCTGCCCACTTGTAGGAGCTCCCTGTGTCCCAGGAGCCTGGCCCAGCTCAGCAGCAGGGGATGAGATTTCTTTCTCTCCCTGCAGATCTCCATGGCCATCCTGAGCTGACAGCTCCTGCAAGGCAGCAGGGTAATCAGTGCAGAACGTACTTCAAAGTCAGCTCTATTCAGCAGCACATCCAGAGGATTCCAAAAGCACAGTCATTCATACTGAATGATGTTTGATGTTTGATTACAGAAGCAAATGCCAAATCTGGAGACCTTGGCTAAAGACCCATAAGAATAAAAACAACACACAGAGAAGAACAGAGAGAGTTTGACTTCCCCGTTCAAGGCAGCGAATCATTTGAGACAGTGCAGAATCATTTAGGTTGGAGTGGACTTTAATGATCACCTCGTTCCAAGTCTCCAGCCATAGGTAGGGTGTCCAGCCACCAGATCAGGCAGCCCAGAATCCCATCCATCCTGACCTTGAGTGCCTTCAGGGATGGGGCACACAGAACATTGTGCGACCTGTTCCACTACCTCTGACTAGAAATTTTCTTCCTAAAAGGTGAACTAAATCTCCCCTCTTTAAGCACACAGACACTCAGTGATGCCCAAGGTGCCTGAGGTGATCCCAGCTGTGTGCTGGTGCTTGTAAGCTGTGGTGGCAAATCTGTGAGACAGACACCTCCTTCCTGAGCATCAGCTGAGGGCCAGAAGGGAGGCATTCTTGGCCATCCTAAATGCCACCACAGCCCTGTGCTTAGGGCACCCACTGTGCCTTTTTCTCCTGTCCCCATGGAGCATGTGGTGTTTTTCTGCTGACCAAATGGATGAGCTCACAGCAGAAGAGCCAGATCTTCCTCTCTGCTCCACCTGTGACATACTCTGGAGTTCAAGGCATTACAAAGCTATGATACATCTACATTCTTTCACTGATGACACCTTAGTGTGCTCTGTGCTCTCACTTGAATGGCACCAGAAGTCTACGGTCATGACAGTTCCTAGAGAGTTGACAGGAAAATGGCAAATCTTAAAGAAGAGGACAAAAGTGGACATTGGCAATTACAGAGCTGTCATTCTCACTTCAAAGACTGGTAAACTTAAGGAGAAAATGGTGCGAGGAGTTAATGAAAAACACCTGAAGGACAATTCTGTCATTGGTCACAGGCAATGCTAGATCACGAAGGTCCTGTTTAACTTAATGGCCCTTTATGACAACATCACTCATTGAGTTGACCAAGGGAAGCCAGTTATCCTTCAGGAGGTTATCCTTTAGGATTTCAGGAGAGCCTTTGATACTATTTCTCAAGTATCCTCCTGGGCCGAACGTCCTGCATACGGCTACACAGAAACATAATGTGATGGGTGAGCAGTTGGCGAATGGGTCGGACCAAAGAATTACAGTAAATGGGGTTCCGTCAGTCTGATGGATGGTCATCAACAGGGTTCCCCAGGCCTCCATTTTAGAGCCAATTCTCTGTAATGTTCTAATCACTGACTTGCATGCAGGACTAGAAGATGTTTTGAGCAAGTTTGCTGATGATACCGGATTGGATGGAGCTGTTGCCTCCATTGAGGTTGGAGAGGACTTGTAGAGTGTTGTGGACAAGTTAGAGAACTGGGTAAGCACCAACCACATGAAGTGTAAAAAGAACAAGTGCCTGATTCTGCATCTGGTAGGGGCAACCCTGGACGCAGACACTCACTGGATATGGGACACTGGAGAGCAGTCCCACTGCAAGGGATTGGGGGTCCTGGTCAACATGAAATTGAACGTGAGTCAGCAGTGTGCCCAGGCAGCCAGCAAGGCCAACTGTCCCCTGAGGTGCACTGAGCATGGCATTGCCAGCTGGGTGAGGGAAGGGATTGTCCTGATCTGCTCTGCACTGCTGCAGCCTCACCTGGAGCACTGGGTGCACTTCTGGGCACTGCAGAACACAAATGATGTAAAACTATTAAGGACTGCCCAAAGGAGAGCACTAGAACTGAGAGATCTGAAGTTCAAAGTTTCATTGGGGTTGACTGCTTGTTCAGATTGGGATATTCTCACATCCCACATCCTGGGATGAGACACACTGCCCACATGGGACTTGGGCCTCACAGCATCCTTGCACCCCATGCAGAGTCTGGCAGCTGCTGTCCCCATCTCTTTCATTTGACATCACACAAACCTCCATCCCACTGCCCCAGGAAGGGCCCTGAGCCAGCAGGAGGGACAGGATCTCCCTGCCAAGGCTCTGGGGATCAGGGCTTGGCCTTTCTGCTTCACAAGACAAAGGAGGCTTTTCTCAGCATCACAGCCACCATCCCAGTGCCTTGGTCTGCCTGCAATCATGGCTTCCAATTCTCTGCTCTAACGAGTCCCAGGGGAAGCTTGCTTGTGAATGGCCCTCAGTGGGGCCCATTAATACTCCTAGAAACTTCACTGTTCCTTCTGACTTGGTCTTCTTGAGCACTTTGTGCAATCTTCTCTCTGCACTGGAGGTTGATGGACTCAGCAGCAAATGCCCCCTTAGGGGCCCATTACAACCTGAAGAGCCGTGCTGTGCCTGTGCCTTCCTGTCATCTTCTTCAGGTGTTCAGAATGTGTACAGCAAACTGGAGAGGTATTTGGCAGAGCTTAGAGAGGAAAAGTCCAATGGGCTTTTAAAATTTCCATTTATTTATTTACTTATTTTTCAGTTTAAACAAGAATCTAAGACAGCACTTGGCATGTGATAATGACCCAGGATGTCCCCTAATGAGCTTTGCCCTGTCACTGTGTGGACAAATGTCCTCCTCAACTTCCCCACCCCATTTCTACTCACATTGGCCCCATGCGACTTGCATCACTTTTCCTGCCACGTAGCATGACATCACTCCTGGATTTCAGGAAAGCCTCTGATGCTGTCCCCCACAACATTCTCATGGAGAAGCTGGCTGCCCACTGTTTGGATGGGTGTATGCTCTACTGGTGAAACACTGGCTGGATGGCTGGGCCCAAAGATTTATAGTCAGTGGAGTTCAATCCAGTTGGCTGCCGGTCACAATCCGTGTCCCCCAGGGCTCGGTTCTGGGGCCAATTCTATTTAACATCTTGATTAATGATCTTGATGAGGGGATTGTGTGCACCCTCAGTTAGTCTGCAGACAACACCAAGTCGGGAGGGAGTGTTGATCTGCCTGAGGGAAGAAGGGCACTGCAGAGGGACCTGGACTGATGGGCCAAAGCAAACTTTGATTTCAATTGGGCCAAGTGTCAGGTCCTGCATTTTGGTCACAACAACACCAGGCAACCCTACGGGCTTGGGGAGGAGTGGTTGGAAAGCTGACACAGCTTGCAGGAGCAGAATGCTGCTCTTGAGAAGGGAAGATGTGGGCTGCAAATCAGACACTGGGGTATTGATGTGCGGAATCAAACTCTGTAACCCAAGTAAGATTGCAAGATAGATCCACCTAAATTGCACACCATCTGGAAAAATGGTGCTACAGATACAGGCCAAACTCATGCATAATCAATAGTTGTCCCGAAATTCGGATCCATATTCATTACACCTCCAAGAGTTCATTAGCTTTCAGGCCCTCCCCTCTTGCGCGTGCGCAGTGTGTCATGGGATGAAGATTTTTTGTCTTCCTCACAAAGGCTTCTGACCTTTCTCGTTGTAAGCTTCTGACCTTTCAGGGGGGCATCCCCCCAAACTGGTTTCTTCTAGCCCTGTGGACATCTCATCTCCTCCCTGCCAAATGTCCTCGGCTGCTCTCAAACCTTATCAGTATGGCCTTCATCCCCCTCACTATCCCAGACCCAGCATCTGCCATCCCTCATTTTCTAACAAGCTCTACATTCTTACTGCTATAAACTACCTCTAACTCTCCCCCTTCCCCCTCCTTATTCTCAGTCGTTCTGAAGCCTTCTTGCCTTTTCAATTTCACTTGGGCCCCTTCTCACCTTTCGCCCGCAGATACAAAGGCGGCCACCAGGGGGCGCAGCGACCCAGGAGCGTGGTGAGCAGGATGGGCTCCGCAGGGTGGGGTCTCGTTTG